ATAGCAACCGCTCGCCTCGTCGGGGAACAGGACTGCGAGTCTAGGTGTGCTAGACCAATGTGAGCCCAATGATTGCTCTCTGTTGCACTGATAGCCTCACATAACACCCACCCCCACTGCGATCCGGCCTCTTGTACTCAGGTGAAGACCGGTGGGATACCAGCCATCCTCTGGTGGGGGGGAGGGGGCTGGCTAGCGTGAATTCCACCCCCCCCCCCTCCCCTACCTCTTTCGGCACATTGCAGCAAGCAGGACTCCCGCCAACATCAGGGAAAATTGCCTTTTAACGGTATGTCGTGATGGGAGATCGATTCATCCTGTGGCTGGGATAATGATGAAAAATGAGCTGTCGGCGTGAGCGGGGTCCAAACCGCCTCTCGCCGTTTCACAGGAACCCTGACAGCTGCTGCGGGAAGACGGGCTCATCCGTACGGCGGCAGAAGGGCAGCGGAGCTCGCGGGAGAGAACACTAAAGCATCGCCTGCCTTATTTGTCCCAGATACTCTGTTGCATGCCGACCTTCCTCTCACCTTTAAATCAGCGCCTTTTCCCTGGCTGTAGACAGGGTCACGCTGCGTGTCCCTTCGATGGCGGGTACAGCGGGCCCCGCACTACTATCTCACACAGACCCACTTTCGCTCCTCAATGTCTCGAGCAGAACACCATGCTGTTCAAACCTCTAATTAGACGCTCCCGACCATCCATCTAGCCTGACTGCCTCCCTCGGCTGGCACACTCTGCGCGCTCTGACCATTGTTCAAACTGCCCTACTCTCGTCTCTCTACGTCACGCAGAAGGCTGCGGTGCCCTCCTTCTGAGGATGGTTCTGTCCTTCCCTTACTCGCCTGCCCAACCTGTCCCACTGTCCTGAGCACGGCCCATGCTGGGCCACTCATGGCAGTGTGTCCAACTGTGCCAAGCCTTCCCAACCCCTACATTCACCCTTCTGCAAATGTGTTCTGGAAATGATTCTTTATCCCACCTTGACCAACAACAGAGTCCTTCTTTGAACTTGATACAGCCATAACACTCCTGCATTCCACTCCTACCATTTCACCTTGGTACAGTTGACTTCCTTTCTGTTATGCCGAGGCGTTTCCTCATGATGTCATGCTTTGTCCTTAATTAATTCCACACAGCTCCATACCAGGCCTTGCCTTTGTCATTTGGTTTCTTCTATGTGACTGCAGGTGCTTGAAAACGTTACGGCTCCTCCTGCAGGCCACCCAGAGTGCAGGGGCATGAGGCTGCCCTCCCCAGGGGACCGCAGTGTCATCACACATGAGCAAGAGCATAGTCCTGTCCCGATTGCCCCATACATGGTACCTCCTGCAGGGGGAACTCATGTTCAGGTTCCGGAATAAGATCTGAGTGTGTTTGTGTGTGCTGGAGAACTCAAGAACGCGAAAACGCTGTGGGAAACCACAAACCTCGGTTTGTTTACACCATGAGCACCACAGAATGTGCTGGGGTTCCTCTTCATTCATGTGAGAACCTGAAACGCGAGAGCGGCAGACTCCTCTGTTACGGTTAAGGATCCATTCAGCTTCCACTGCTGGTGTCACCATGTGCCCCGGGAGACCCTATCAGGAAACTCTCCAACGGACGATGAATATCCCCGGCCAAAACCAACACAAGGCATCGCCTGTGGCTCCGAGATTCAGATGGGAAGCAGGACACAGCAACACCAAAAGGACATGTGTAACGGGGGGGGGGTCATCTGAAGGCACTTGTGCCCACAAGCTGTCACATTAAATTGAGAAAAATTACAAGAACAGAATCATGTAAGATGTCAATCAAAACATTATTTTTGAAAACCATTATGTGAACTGAGTTCAAAGCTATCAAGATCCTTGTGATACATTTTGTGAAGGTCTACACCTCCTGTTCCTATGAGGCGCTGACAAACTCACCATATATTTTTTTTGTTGTAAAGTATCATAACGTCACGCCATTGTGAAGCATGCATCAGATAATGAGATGCTCATTTTCGCTGTCATACAGAACAGACCCCCCACCCCGGCCCAGTAAAGACAGGGGGGTCAAAAACCAGCTTCCGACTCCATCTCCATGTATTTATTTGTTTGTTTGGTGAGCAGACGCCTTGTTCCAAAGCAACATCGATTTTTGAGAGAAAGCAGAGTCATGAAGTCTCTGGAGCAATTGGGGGTTAAGGGTCATCTTCAGGGGCCCAATGGTGACATCGTTGTGTCAACCATGTGATTTAAACCAACGACCTTCCAATCACAGGCACAGCCATCTCACCCACCCCCCACCGTTTAGGGGCTTCTGCTTCCTTGGGTACACAGTGATCAAAGTCCCTCCCAGTGTGAGAAGCCTAATAATAGAAGATGGGGTACAGGAAGGAGTGGGGGGGGGGGGGGCTGCGGGAAGGACTAGATAAAGCTAGACAGTGGTGCCGTGATTGATTACAGGGGCCGGCTGTCACCCTACTGGGAGCAGGCTAAGACCAGAGATGCTCCATCATTCAATGGCTAGGGTGTGATGCCTGTGGAGCTTTGCCATGGCAACAGGCACAAAGAGGAGGAGTCAGCCACAGAAGTGGGCGTGGCCACCAGCACATCAGCCTGTATGAAAGCGGTGAGTCGAGCGAGCCGCCGGTTAGGTAAAAACCCCAGGAAAGTTGCCAGCTGACTGTCCAATCGCCTGTGATCGTTGCCATGGTTTTTTTTTTTCATATTGGAGGACAGAAAAACACAAGCTTGGAAATTGCTGTAATTTGGATGCGAAGCAGGACTCAATTAGCAGAGAGCGACTGAGATCTCATCAGACATGTAGCACAATTATACATACACATGCAGACTGTGTACAAAGCCATGTGGTTTTTCTCAAAATCCAGGACACCCTCTGATTAACAGACTCTTACCATCAACTTCATAGACGGAGAAACGGTGATTTTACGGCTGGCGGAGCTTTAGGCGTTTAACCTCAGACGGCAGGCCCTAGAGGGCATTTAAAGAGAGCAGTAAAGCGGGCTTCATAATAGGATGTCAAACACATTTTAAACATTAGAAACAAAACATCAAAGTATCGATTCCTCAGACACTCTTAAAACGTCACTTGGCCAAGAAAAAAAACCTCCCCTGCTGAAGGTTAACATGCCATCTTCAGGAGGTGAATGCGGTAACGCGGGGATCGTTTCACACTCTCCAGAGCACTTTCACCACAAGAGCCAGAAGGACTCCATCATTACACTGAAGATGATGGCTGGCCGCGTCCTTCTGCCCGCAGGTCGAAGGCGTTTCATGAAGTACTTGTTGAAGCCTGACTGACTGAGAAGGTCAGCACCTCCTCAGCCCTCCGTATCTCCCCCAGGGTCTCAGGTCGACATCGGGAGGCAACTTTCTCCAGGAGGAAGACAGGAGGATGAAGATTCTGGAGCAGAAGCTGGACTGCTATGTACGTGAGCTCCACAGCAACATCCAGGGGACACTGCAGAGGTGCGGCCTCGGTTGCCCTGGAAACGCCAGAGCCCTCCCCTCCCCTCCCCTCCCCGCCGACTGCGCCGGCCGCCCCCGGTGATGCATCTTCAGTCGCAGTGTGGATTTGAGTAGATCCGTGGAAAACAACTTTGGCTGTATGGGACGGCTCTCGGCTGCCGGGAAATTACGACTACGAGAACCGGGAAATTACGACTACGAGAACCGAGGCCCTGGGACGGGTACGAGGTGATCCAGACCACGGCAGCGGACCTGGAACCTTCTGCCACTGGCCACTTCCAGCGCGCACGGCGTAGCTCCCAGGCAAGAATGCGACAGCAGATTCCCCTGTGATTAAACCCCAACTCTGGGCTTCATTGAGGCATGCAAACATACACCACAAAGGGAAGCGGAGGAAATAACTGCTGATTAGGGAGGGTAAGCAGAGACAGAGCAGAGGGGCATTGTGGGAGTTCTCTTTATTAACGGAAACTGTATACTGTCAAATGCGTAAGGCACATACCACGATCCACAGATACACTGAACTACACGACCCCCGGTCTTCAGAACTTAGTGGTAGAGTGCGTACACCTTCGATTGTACAAGGGGGGTCTCCAGTGACATTCAGCTACACGCCAATTCACGCGGAGACAGATGGCAAGAATGCGCACTCCAGACAAGTATCGACCCCCCCACCCCAAGTCCGTCCAGTGGTTCGGCCGTCGTCAGTCGTGAGAACTCGGTAGATTGTCCAAGCAGTTGAGCGCGCAATTGTGTGCAGAGGTCCTTTGGTAAGCAAGAGGCAGATGCCACCCGCGAGAAAAAAATGGCATCAAGCGGGCAGGATGAGTGTGACGGTCCTTCAGAAAACGCACAGGAGACACGGCAAGAGACTGACCAGGGAGTTTCTGCCAAAACCAGCCCCATCACGCAAAGGCACATGAGAGAGACACTCTGACTGGAGCAGAAGAGCTATCAACAGCTCCAACCAATCACCTTCAACGTTACAAAGTGAAACGCTTTTGCTTTGCTAGAAGACATGCAATTGGAGGGTGGCACGGTGGTGCAGTGGTTAGTGCTGCTGCCACACAGCAAGAAAGTCCTGGGTTCGGTCCCGGGTCCTTTCTGTGTGGAGTTCGCACGCCCTCCCTGTGTTCATGCAGGCTTTCTCCAGGGGCTCCAGTTTCCTCCCACAGTCCAAAAGCGTGCAGGACAGGCTGATTGGTGAGTCTGAATTGGCCCTGTGTGTGTGAGTGTGTGTGAGTGTGTGTGAGTGTGTGTGTGTGTGTGTGTGTGTGTGGGGGCCCTACAGTGTGCTGGCGACTGCCCAGGGTTGGTTCCTGCCTGCACCCGCTGTTCCTGGGATAGGCTCCGGTCCCCCCTGTGACCCCAGTTGGGATTAAGTGATTTCAGATAATGGATGGATGGATGTGCAATTGGCCCAGTATAAGCTCTGCCCAGTAGTCCCTTCTCCCTATTGGCTGGAGCCATGGCAGTGCTCAGCAGCTAGAACCCTGGGCTGGACAGCACCCTCTGCCACAAAAGCACAGAGTCGGCTTCTTGTCCCATGTTGATCTCTTGTTTAATTGGGGTGATGGTGGACACTGTAGAGCGGAGGATGTGCGGGGTGGCGGGCCGGGCAGGGCAGGGCCTACTCGATGGCACCGGGCCGCGTGGCCACGTAAACAAAGACGACGATGAGCAGCACGACCACGGCCAGGGTGGGCAGGACCACAGTGGCCACCTGCTGCCGCGCCTCCTGCATGGCCTGCTTGCGCTCCTTCTTGTCCTTGGACGTCTCCTTCTTTGGCTTCCCCTTCAGCTGCCTCATGGCTAGGGCGGGGGGGCCAGGCCGCTCCTCCTGTGGGCGAGAAATAGCAAGCGGCAAACAGGAAGAGCTCCGGTCAGCACAGTAAGGGAGGGGCCCACATTCAGGAGAACAGGACGTGAGAGAGAACCGAAGCCACACAAAACGTCACCTTTACACCAGAGTAAATTCTCAGGGAAAAGCGGAGTGGCTTGAACAACAAACACAGACTCGTGCTAAGAACATTAAGGGGGGCGCTGTACTACACTGAATGTTACACCAAGCACAAAACTTTACAATTCCTGTTTCCTCATTAATAATAGAGCTTGATTGGATGCAGCTTGACGGGCAGATGGTCTGCATCACAGGCCGGAGATGCAATAAATCCACATCACCTAGATGAGGGCCGACGCCCTTAGTATCTGTAGCGAGGGCGGGATGGCGGATGGGGGGGGCACACACCAACAGCGGGCAGTAAATTAACCAGCATTTGGCCCCAAACGGGGCATGTTAACTAAACTTACCGCTCCCTCTGAGGAAGCTTGCATTTCTGTGTTTTAAAAAAAAAAAAGGTCGCTGGCACAGCAGAGGTGGAAATTTAAAAAAATACAAACCAAACCAAGATTTTGTTTCAGACCAACCAGCTGAGTGACTGTGACTCTTCATACCAACAGGTTGGTTGAAACAAAATCTTGGTCTGGATTTGAATTTTCTGAACCTGAACTTTCCATCTCTGCCATCTAGGTGTGATCCGGCCCTTCCAGCAGAAACTGACCTGCAGCATTTAGTCATTTAGTGCTCTACGGTGCCCAGGGAGGGGGGGGGGTGGTCTAACGGCAGCAAACTGGGCCGCTCACTGCACTTTACCACAAAGCACATCGGCCAGTGATGACCAGTCACTGGCCCATTAAAGCAGCATGCATAGTCCAGTAGGGTCCTGTCAGACGTATCCCGCCATTCACAGACTGATGGGTTTGTAACGTTTCCACATTCACCCTCGATATCCAGGATGCATCCTTCAGATGTCACGATCATGGGGGGCAATTTAGGTCACAAGGAATGAAAAGCATGACTAATAAGAGGCAAGAAATGTTAAGAAACTCAGAAAATAAAACCTGAACTAACGTTTAAAAATGAGGAAGCCTGGAGCACACTGGGGGGGGGCTGAGGGGAGGGGGGCATCCGTCTCGTCTCCTTAGTGACACTTTCTGATAGGCAGAATGACAACTTTATGGGACTGGATCTACACGATGCTGAGGACAGCAGAATATAGTGAGACACACACTCCATGTACACACAGACAGACAGGACAGACACACACACACAGACAGGACAGATAGACACAGACAGACAGACAGACGGACAGACACACACAGACAGACAGACAGGACAGATAGACAGACACATACAGACAGACAGACACATACAGACAGGACAGACACATACAGACAGACAGGACAGATAGACACACACATACAGACAGACAGGACAGATAGACACACACATACAGACAGACAGGACAGATAGACACACACAGACAGACAGACAGACAGGACAGACATACAGGACAGATAGACACACACAGACAGACAGAACAGATAGACACACACAGACAGACAGGACAGACAGACAGACAGACAGGACAGATAGACACACACAGCATCTCCTGTCGCAGCATCTGGGCCGCAGACACCAGGTCCAGCTCAGGAAACAGGGAAACTGGCCAGCACTGGGGAGGGTTCACCCTCGGTGGGTGGGGTTAATGGGTTACATGCGCCGGTAAGACAGCCACACCCACTGTTTCTGGTCCTCTGCTCTGACCAATCATACCACATCTGGTTACGGAGACGGTGCTCAGATGCAGTGCTCAGTCCTAAGCCCTCAGAGGTACACTCTCTAAACGGCAAGACACCAAGAGATTCGCTCTCATGATGTGGGCCGGAGCCGCCGTCATGCTCATCGGCTCTGCTATTCTACAGAGGTCCTCTCTGCCCCTGCCCACAATGGCCCAAATGAGGTCACTGCCATCCCAGTGGACTGGAAGCAAGGGGGGCCCAAAATAACCCCACCCCTCCCCCACGGGATTTCGCCCATCCGCACCGGCAGCTGAATTCCAAATGTTCAACAAGTAAGGAGGCCGGCTGGGGAGGGGGCGTCTGAAAACAAGCCCCAGCAGTATTCTACTCTACAGGACGCATAAGTCTGGGTGTTTCTTCATTAGACTGATGGTCCGTTTCAAAGCGGCAGGCTAATAGGCATTAATCTGACAGGGGAATGGAACATGGGTGCTTCCTAGGAACGTCACGGGGGTTGGCTCGCTCTCACGGACATCATCATCGCAGAGCTGGCATGGTCAAAACACGCGCAGCAACATTAGAATTCATGCCAACCAATGCGGTGGTCCTTAATCTCAAGGGTCGAATGGTAATGACCGCCTACCTGACGCCCCGGTCCCGGAAGGGGGTGTTTCAGACAACGTCACCACACATACACACATACCAATGTGAACAGGGGTCGCAAAATATTCCACGTGGCACCAAGATGGCGTCTGGCCTCAACCACCTTCTCCTGGGGGCCCAAAAGCAAAACGTGACGCTCCGGGGGGGGACCCAGCAGTCCGGGGAGTGAGAGCTACACCACAGCATGATCCAGTTTGACACTACAGGATTAGAGCAAGACCAGGCCCTCCCCTCACTGAAAACAGCCCGGTCTCGCCATACACGGGTCCATCAAACAGGCCGCAATCTCCACACCCCTCAAATCATGCGCGTTTCGGGATTCACTTTTTCCGACTTGCAGAGTGGAAAGCGAACCCCGCGGATCTGGCCTCCGAGCAGCCCGGCCAGTGCCACCGCCAGGCACTCATCAGTCCCCCCCACCCGCCACCCTTTTAGTGGCTCCTTTTTCCAGGGGATCACAAAGAACGGGCACCTGTAGCCATGGCAACATGACTCAGCAGGCGGGCCGAGGAAACGGGACTTAATGAAACACAAAGGAGACGTGAGCAGGTCGACCGTCAGAGCAGAGGGGCCGGAACCACGGCATGGGCCGGAACCACGAGCAGGACCGTTTGTTCTGGGCTGCAGCGATGCACCCGACTCCCTCCTGCGGCTCTAGGCCACGCCCCATAACTCCAGGGTGCTGCTCAATTTGCCGGTGATAAATTTCCCACATATCATGGGTTTCATTTATGATTCAGGGTTTAAATACGTCCCGCGGCACACCGTCCTCAGCCGTCCAGGAAATACATCAAATAATAATGGCTGCAAAATCCCACCAGTGAGCAGGTCTCCATCGGGGCACTGACCAAGGTGCGGGCACCCCAACTCACCAAGCGGCTCCCCCCACTGCAGCTGGACTCGGCCTCTAACCGGCCCGGTGTCCCCCCCCCAGCCAGCCCTCACGATGACGTGGAGCCTGCGGGCAGCCCCGACCACAGCAGGGCTGAAGAGGAATGCAGGAGCCGACCGCGGACGGCAAAACCGGTTAAACTTACCCGCTGACCGTCAGGCCCCCCCCCACGGAAATATCCAGAGGCAGGATATTTCGCGAAACTCTGACCCAGCAGAAACGCCGCCTTTGCACAGAAGCCAGGAAGACATCGGGCGGCGCCGCAACCGCAGGAACACAGTCGTGCAAAGTCTACCACGGCCAGCCGACTCCTCACTACAACCCAAGAATCCTCCACAGCCCCCCCCCCCCACCAGGCGGGCCATTTACGATACACCTCATCTACGCTTCTACCCAAGCCGTGGACATTTTTCTGAGAGGGGAGGGCCTGTCGGTCCCTGCAGCAAATCCCTGGGCCTGGCTCAAAGATCCAATGGTGACGATCCTGGGGTCTGAACCGCTGACCTTCCGATCACAGGCACAGAGTAGCACAAGCGTATCACACCACATTCACGCCTGATCTACAACTGCTTCACTGAGGGAGGATCCAACTCTTCAGATGATCCTGCAGCCAGACACTGGAAGCCCCCGCCCCCCCTCCCCTTCAGTTCTATTTTTAATTACCCCCTAGGGTTCAGCTTCAGGTGCCACAGTCAGCCACGTGCCTGAGATCGGAGGCCATCCTGCTTGTGCCCAGTTCAGTCCCCTTTGTGGCCCAGCTTGGATAAGACTCTCCTTAAAAGCAGCGCCTATAGCCTCCTCCCTGTCAAGGGGGGAATCAGCCATGCGACACGGCACCCATTTGGGGGGGGGGCTGTGTGGAACTGTCTGTCCACATGCTGCTATTCCAAGGGAGCCTCACAGAAAGTGGCTGTGCAGGAATTAGTGGTCTTCTGGAGACCTACCGGGAGGTTACAGGCAGGGGGGGTGAAGTGACAAGGTAATTTTGGGGGCTGACACTTTGTGCAGACTGCACTAAAAGGAACAGCGCCACCTGTGGACAGACAGTTCCACACAGCCCCCCCCCCCCGAGGAGCAGTGGTCAGCAGAGCATTCTAGACCAGAGCAGCAAGAAAGGAAGACTTGTAGACAAATGGTCGGGCCATTAGGGGGCGATACAGCCACCTGTAACAATACAGGGGAACCACGAAAAGCTACAATGTCAGAGCGAACAAAATCAGAGCACCTGGCGCAGCAAACATGACCAAAGAATAAAAAATTAATGGCAGAGAGGTGAACAGTTCTAGGCGCTGCCTGTGATTCCTGGAGACCGCAGGATCACACCGGTCGACACCCAGACCCCCTCCTCCCCGCCCCAGTGTGACTGTGAAACATATGCTGTCAGAGATCACTGTATCACAGGGCACTTAAAAATAAACAAATAATCAGTCCTCCATATGGTCTCATTAAAGGGGCTGAGATCATTCTTGCCGATAAACCACACACTTAAAAAACAAAACAAAACATAAAAAAACAGATGCACTGTGACAACCCCAGGTGACATACTGCATTTTTTTCTGGCTGCAACCGTATTATGTTAAAAAAAAAATTAAACCCTTCAATAGATTTAGATGATCACCATTCACAATTATTCACTGCCATGTACAACAGCCATGTGATGTAATGACTCAGATTTCAACTTTATGATGGACGCCAGTACACGTATCACATCACGTTGGTGTCTGCCGTTGTACCTTTGATCAAGGTAATCAGTATTTTTCTAGCATATCCAGGGGTAATGGCTCGAATCTTAACTTACTTGGTTGAAAATGTCATATCTTGAATTACAGTAGATAATTTTTTTCCCGAAATATAACTGAATTTGAAATTAACACGAAAAACATTGCAATGAAAATTTCAATGTAAATAATTACAAGGTAGTCCAGTAATGTGTCCAGTAACGCGTAATGTGTGGTCAAGGTCCGATAATCTTTCACCTTGATCACATAATCACTAGCGTTACGTTACATTGCTACCAGCCCCTGCAAATAAACAAAAACTCATTGAAATACTCAATATACAGCAAAATGCAAAGCGGATTAAAAATGCCGTAGTGTAATAATAATAAAATCCCTCGCCAGAGACAGCCTGCGTTTAGGGTGGATGTGTTAAAGAGACACCGTAACTTAACGTGCAAATGGAAATTAATGCAGACCCGTCCATAGACACGTCGCAATGGGACAACCATTGAAAAACAATCGGTACGGGTTAGCGGAGTTTTTAAAGTCTCAGAGCAGCCCTGTGTACGGGTTAACGCTCAACATGGACGGCGAGAAGTTCACCCGCAGTGACTGCTCTTGTACCCGGACAAACTCTCCGGCGGTTTCCGAGGCACGGCGGGGAGTTAAAGGCCGGATAAATACTACAGAGCAGGACTGAAATGGGCAGATGAAACCGCCGCGGCATCGGCATGGGTCCCGGGAGCAATACCACAAGTGCCCCGCACACTCAGCCCTCATGCCCGCTAGCAGGCGCCCCGAGCCGGCTCTCCTCTCCGCACCAAACGGGGGCGAGTTAACATTACTCCCAGAAAATGTGCCGTTCAGACGTGGAGACACTTTCCGAAGTTGTCAAAGTTGGATTTTCGCGCTGCGTCCTGCGCCGCCGCTGAGCCGCGCCGATCCGATCGGAGCCGAGCCGCCGGGCGTGCGCGTCCCCGCAATGCCGCCGCACTCACTGCTTACCTACGGAACGCAGAAAAGGGGGCGCGGACTCGTGTCCGTCCGTCAGTGTGTCGAGGGGACCCCCCTTCCCGAGGGCTCCTATGTCCCGCCGAGTGTCGGTCGCGGAGCCGAGCAGCGTGCGAACCAACGCCTGGTCGCCTTATTCTGCGGACTGCCTGCTCCTGCCGATTACGTGGCAGCTCATCGTGTGAACCGGAGGCAGGCAGGCAGGCAGGCGGGGGTGGGGGAAGCGCGTTTCATAGCGCGCTCTACCGGGCAGCGGCGTTACTGCAACGCGACGACGGCCCCCGAAGCGCGCAACAGGTCCCTGCGCTCCAGGGCGGCCAGCGAAGAGCGTTTTGAATATTTAAATATGGCACAAACGATTCTGGTACCAGTTCATGTGAGGAGCTGATTTCGCACTGCGGATAACCTGAAGCGGGGGTCGGGGGCTGCCAAAACACCCGCAAAAAGCAGAACAAGCTGCGGTCTCTAAATAATCTTGAAAATAAATTGCATGTTTTCACCATATAATGTATGTAAATTAAACAGGCGTCCTGAGGCACACAAACCTCTGTGCATCTCAGTCTATATAATCTAGCATTTCTTTCCAGCCATTTCCGGGTGCGTGGCTTACGTAATAGTGTACCGAAGCAGCCACTTACCTCAGGTTACCTCAGCACAGCAGACAGTGGGGACCCACTGGAAACCATGTGTCCAGTCAGGGAGTCCATTGGCTGTTACTTCTGGACATTAATTACAGAATCTTTAAGCTGAACAGAACCTTTTCCTTTCAGCAATATTTCAGACTTCATATCCTGCACTTACTTCAGACAGCCTTTAATTGCCACAGGATGCATTTATTCAGATACCTGCTAATATGCACAATGTGGCTTTTCACTCCTGCATTATGGGCATTAATGGTGCATTATGCTTAATTAATCACCCACCACAGACCCCATTATTACAGGAAACACGTTTGTTGGGCAGCCATCTTGGCCGCATGATTCACTGAGGATACAGAGCACAGATAGGTACAGTTCATCACAGGCAGGAATTTTTTTAAATAAGACCTGATTTTGACCTGAATGAATCTCCTCCGAGATAATCGAGATGGAAGAGCAAAGAAGTACTCGCTGCCCTCCAGTAAGAGTGGGGGCCATTCTTAGGCCCAGTCTCCTCAAGGAATATTGTCCAAGTCCTCATGCATTTGCTAACCAGACCTAGCAATTTCCGAAGATGTAAAAATATGCCAAAGTCCATGAAAAGTACGCTTTTCAAATAAAAGGTTGAGGCAGAACGGTTGAACTTCAGGGCTCAGTGGACACACAGCGAAAGCAGGGCAGACATTGTCATTGTGTGTGTGTGTGTGTGTGTGTGTGTGTGTGTGTTATGGTGAACTCAAAGAAACAACCTCCAATGCTTGTGTCTATATGTCTATGAGAATTTAATTAGAACAAATTGTACATGGAATTATTAAACAGTTAAAAACACACTGATTTCAAGGACAAAAGCAGAGACTAGAAAACTGCTAAAAGCCTGGTTCACACCGGGAGGCTCTGTGTTCTCAGCTTCAGCAACGTCTTCTGCAGAGGGACAAGAGGCTGTGTCTTAGAACAGCAAACAGCTTTGGCGACTGATTTTTTTTATTAACCAAACTTTACCTTGCAACCAGGTGTGTGAGCTAAGCATCCCCCCTCAAAGCATTTAATCACCAGTACAAACAACCCAAAGTTCTGCGCCACATACAGACCCGCGGGCTTTCAATGAGCCCGGAAACATCCAGCATGCATAGGGAGCTGCAGCATCTGCATCCAAACCCTGTTACGCCCAGAGTCACACCCCTGTAAGGGCTGCATGCAGCGCAGACTCAGGAAAGGTCAGGCGGATACAGACGTGGGGAGAGCCTCTCCTGTTACCCCCCCCCCACCCTAGCCCCCTACCTTGTGGAACTCCTTGGCCCTGGCCCTATTTTTGGCGCAGGCCTCTTGCCGCATGTTCGCCTCCCTGCGCCGCCTCACCTCCTCCAGCTGGTTATATAACCTATGGGGACATGAACCTGCTGATTTGCAGGACGCAGCACTGCAGCCAGATCACACGCTTCCGGGGGTTAATCCAAGGCCCCCCCGGCCCAAACAGCCGGCAAGTCCACACGGTCCACGTCTAAGGGGCGTGACTGACAGCGGAGCACAGGGGGCGCCGCACACCACGCCTCTCTCAGGAAGGAGGGGGCCGGCCTGTCCCCGGGCGCGAGGCCAACAGTGTGTCGTTAGCACGCCCTCCCCTCCTCACCTTTTCCACCCCACATTAGTGACAGTGTGTGAATGGTCTCATCCAACAACCCTCCCTCCCACAAACAAGTGAAGGAGCAGCGGAATTAAGACCAACACTTTCACAGGCCAGGAAACCCCACTCACATATAATAAGAAAACAAATTTCCTCTCAGCATAATTAATTTCCTCGCCCCCTCAATTAAGCCCTAATCTGACACATTCTTACAGAGAAGAAGGGGAAGATGGCAGCAGAGTGGGCTGCGGGTACCTCTCAGTTCTCTGGTACATCTCTGCGCCCGCCGCCCTCCTCTGCTCTGCCCCACACACGGTCACTTCTGCCACCTTCTTCAGCTCAAGTCCAGCTGCTGATAGACGAGCGCAAAAACACAAATATAATCTCACAAGGTGGTGCAGCACTTCAAAGTTGGATCCCAGATGGGTCTGCTGTTGGACCCTAGAGCTGTCGAAGGTAATATTAAATCCAAGTCAAAATGCAGATAATCCCGTAAATGCTGCTACAGTGTTTCTGGTAGCTCAACACCACAAGCAGCTGGGCCGAGTGTTGAAAAGCTCGGACAGAAAAATAACTCTCTGAGACGCAGGCAAACGCAGCAAACACGACACTGCAGAAGTGTGAGATATGCCAGTGCCACACCCACCTTTGGGCACCACGTCACTGGCGGGGTCCTGCGGGGGCTTGACCCTCGGTCCCTTTGTGGGTGCAGGCTGGTCGGCACGTGCCTGCATCTCTGCGCTTCTCCTGGCCTTCAGCTTCTCCTGCCTCTGGGTTGACTTGCGGATAAAGTCCTGCCGCTTCTGCAGAAAGAGCTCCTGCAAGGTGCCGCCGGGCAGCTCGACCTCCAGCAGCGCGACTGGAGGCAGATCAGGGAAGTTCAGGCGTTTGAAGAGAGGACAGCGGCTGGCACTGCACTGCCAGGGCTTACAGTAAGTGTCTTAGTAAACTGTATAATTCCCAGAAACGGAGGTGGGTTAAATTTGGAGTTAATGTCCTGCCTCTCGCTGCCTGATGCTCACCTGCGTGGGACGTCTCTGACTCAGCTCTCCAGCTGCTGTCATCTCCAGCCACCTTGCAGGTCTGAAAATGTTAAATCACCGTCAAACCCACAACCGAGGCTCCATAATAAAGTTATGACTTGAATCTGCAGCACTGCAGCGGCTCAATAGCGACGTGCAGGGAAGGGTTAGGGCTATACCTGCTGGGCCTGATTCAGCGGGAAGGCCTGACACCCCTCCTCCACCTCCGTGGTCCACTCCTTTCCCTCCCCTTCCTCCTGCAGGGTGGTCTCTCCCAGGCTCACCAACGTCAGCTCGGGTTCCTCCAGGATCCCCCTCTCCTGGTCCGTCTCCTATGCAACCCAACCATCTGCGGTTCAGTCAAGGACCCCCACGGACGCACCTTTGATCCAAGCCCCCTCGCCTCCAGCCAAAAGCCAAACCACATCAGCAACAAAAAGCCAGCATATAATCTATCACTCTTCCCGACTTCATCCAGTGGTTCTACATACCATGGGAAAGACATTGTGCCTTTGATGTAAAAAAAAGAGGAATCTCTAGACCCTTATACTGAACCACTTGCTCCAGCAGGTTGCTTGGGAAAGCAAACACCACCAAAAAAGAATCGTTCATAAGCACTTCTGGGAAGCTCTGATAAAACACAGCCAGCTTCCTGTGTTCCCGTCAGCCTCGGGAAGATCTCAGAATAGACCCAGACGCTTCATCTCAACGGACCGGAGGGAATCGTCCTAATGAAGGAACGATTAATTGAGCCCGTCACCTGCTTGGTTTTGCCTGATACTTTTTAGCCACGAGGAAACAAGTTGAACGGGTCTAATTAGTCTGAGTGAACTTAAGAACGAAATTCCCATTGCAAGAAGAAGGGGTGACTCATACCCGCAGGGGACACACTTGAATGGAGTTCCACTTAATCTAGTTAATTAATACCAATTTGCCCATTTCGAAAACCAATATTATCCCATTTTTCCATTTCCTGTGAATTCTCCATATATGCAGAGTGTGAATGGGGCGTCGTACCAGTATTCTGTCCCAGACGGGCGAGGTTGGCCCAGGCCCAGGCATGACATTCTCCTGTGGTTCCTGAGCATCGAGGTTATGGGGCGTGAAGGTCCTGAGGGAGTCACACTTGCCCAAGTCATGCTTGCATGAGGGTCCCCTCTCTGTGGACAGGGTTAGGGGCCTGTCGGGCTGCGGGGGACGGTCCTCCACGAGAGCCAGGCTGCACACAGAGCTCCGGGGGGAGGCCAGCAGGAAGGAGCCACACAGGGGTGGGGGGGAGCACTGGGAGGTGCCCGTCGGCTCATTCCTCAGACATTCAGGGGATAGCTCCAGATCCCAGTGTGGGTCAGGGGATCGCGACACCACAGAGCTCTTGGAGGGAGCGTGAAAGAACAGTGACTGCTCAGCTGTCTCATTGGCTGTCGTCTCAACCAATAGCGGGTGGAAAGAGTCTGACGTAGCTTCCCCTGAAAGGCACATACACACACAGACAGCCATTACGTTACTGCCCCACATGACTGCGCTGGGATCTAAACTTCACTGTGACCTCCCATCTAAACCGAACATACCCAGTATCTCAGTGTCCTGCCCCTGTAAGTCGGGCTCAAGCCCCTCACCATATCGCTGCTCTGGGGTGGAATCCTGCCAGGGAAGAAGATGGGGGAAACGTCATGGAAAAACATCCACAAGTCGGAATGTGCAGAGTCGGAATGTGCAGATAGAGAATCAGAAGTGTGGATACACGCAGACAGATGCATGCATGCATGTCTCCTGCCCAGGCACACGCAGATGGATGCATGTATGCATGTCTCCTGCCCAGGCACACGCATGCACGAATGCATGCATGTTTCCTGCCCAGGCACACGCATGCACGGATGCTTGCCTGTCATCTGCCCAGGCACACGCAGACGGATGCTTGCCTATCATCTGCCCAGGCACACGCAGACGGATGCTTGCCTATCATCTGCCCAGGCACACGCAGACGGATGCTTGCCTGTCATCTGCCCAGGCACACGCAGCTTGGTTTTCACAATCTGTCCGTAATAACAGCTAAGTGACAGCTTACCTCCACCAAGGGAAATTGCTGAGGCCTGCAGCTCTCAGATGGGATTACATCGCCGCTTGTTTCCAGGGGCCCTGAAGAGTCAGTATCCACCAGCAGCGGGGACTGGACCCCACATCCACCTGCTGCATGAACACGCAGAGTCAGGCGGTCAGACTGCCTTCACGGGGCTACATTCTGGCTCTACTGGCTGTAAACATCACTCTACTTCACCTGTGACATCGTTCTCCCGACTAGTAGAAGCATCCCCTTCCAGCCAGGAGCAGGACTGACTGAGAAGCTGGCTAATCAGCAGGCTCAGACGCGAGTCCGTTCCCTCCCCCTGGCACTGAGATGACGAATGATCCGAGAGATGCTCGATGACCCGGCGCATGGCGGAGTCCCACTCCTGGACATGAAAGAGGTCGGTCAGCCGTGCCAAAAACGGGGACCGAGAAACAGCATGACCTCTCACACTGACAGCGGCCGTGCCGAAATCAACTCACACAGCCGTTATCACCACCGGCTCGGGAAACAGAACCTAATTAACGCTCACTGAGGTAATTAAACGAGAGAGAAATGGGGTAGATTTTTGTTACTGTAGACGATGGCAGAATTGGAGCATTTAAGAGTCAGGGGCCTTTACAGAGTGAGGGGGGCAGGTAAGCACGTTCACATCAAAGACGAAAGGGGGGCACCGGCGCACGTCAGGAGCGACAGGACAGCCTGGTCTGGGCTCTGCGGGAATTCCAGGAGTCCAACATAAAACACAGGAGCACGGGAAGGGAGGGGCGTGACAGGAAGGGGTCAGGAAGGCAGACTAACAGAGAACGGACCTCAGGTCTTCGTATCTGCCCCGGTCCCCCCTGGCGACGGGAGGAAGAGGATGACGAAGAGTCGGAATCAAGCCTAGGCTCCAGTGGGAGAAAACGATCTAGGAGGCACACAGAATATTAGCTGTCAGCATGTTGTACTCACAAATGGAAGGGAGAGAGAGAGAAAGAGAGCGAGAGCAAACGAGAGAGAGAGAGAGAGAGAGAGAGAGAGAGAGAGAGATACAAACACTGAGGGGTGCCTTACTGGACGAGCTGTAAGACACGCTTCCCAAGTCGACGTCGCGTGCTTCCTGAAGATAGGAAGTGGAGCCGTCACAGAGCATCTGACCCGGTGTGGAGATGCTAAAATCCTAAAAAGAGCAGCAATACGAAATTAAAGGATTTCTAACAAAACGAGAGAAGTGTCCTCCTGTTAGCAGAAGCATTTTACTGCAACCAGTAAATGTTTTAATCACTTATAAGTTCATCACGTCTAAGTACAGCTGACACGTCATTTCACCAGTTCATGTTTACTGGTGTTGATCTCAGACCACAGGCAACAGATAAGCCACAGACATACAGATGGGTAATGGGCATACAGTACCTGCAAACTGTCCTGGCTCCAGAGCATTTGGTCAGGTGAGTCGGCTCCAGAGACCAGCACCATGTTTTGCTGGTTACGGGGCCCAGGCAGGGACATAAAGGACGAAGACTCCCCCAAATCAAAATCAGATCTCCCTGAAAGTGGGACTGGACAGATCAGAAAGGGAGTGAAGCATCAGACACCTTCAGTCACTCTCTGCAGCACCTGTATATTTTATATTTTATAATATATAATATATATATATATATATATATATTGTTTATTTAAATGTATTAGCTTAATGAATGAGGACTGGAGCAAGATTCAGACCTGAGGAGCTTCCAGACAGATACAGGGAATCATTCAGCTCTTTGATGTACTTGTGAATGATTCGCTGGACACTGCAGTCATGTGAGATGGACCCACAGGAAGCGGGTGAGATGTCTGCAGAATTGCCAAGCGCGTCCTCCGGAGCGAGCCGGGAAGCAGGACAGGGGGGCGTTCCACCTGAAACCGGATTCAAGGTTCGAGACGTATCTCTGATTTAGAAAAGATACTTGCACGTCATGTAGAAAATTGCTGAAGGATAACAAGTACGTTCCTCTGGGTAGGAACGCTCCTCCAAAAAGGCACTTCCAATGAACAAGTGGAGTGCCGCAGCATTTGCTGTGTTAATGCAACATGAGGAAACCATTTAAAATGAGTAAATACAAAACCATGAAACACTCAAGCCTAAGAGCTTTCAAAAATTACCATCATTATAAAATGAATTTACATCATTTGCCACAGGGGACCTTGATTAACAAACAAAATATGTAAATAAGGTCATAGGATTTGATCCTAAAAATCCCTGAATATTTTGGTTGAGAGGATATGAAAAGTTGACAGTAGGAGACACTAAATGACAAGCGGCTGCAGCTTTGTTTTCACATGGCAAACCCATTCTCACCGGAGCTCAGGTCCGGCTCGGCGGTGGAGAAGCTTCCGGTAGAAATGGAGGTGGAGAATTCTGGCTCAGTGTGGAGACGCACCGACGAAGGAGAGCTGCTGAACACAGGGCGCTGGGGAGGCCCAAGCAGCAGCTAAACACCACACAGTTATTAGCTTAGAGTGTTAAGGTCAATCTGAACACTAGACAGACAGCGACATAACACTGCAGAACATTTATGATGGAAAACAAACACAAACAGACCCTCAGCGTCTCATTTTAATCTTAATCATTTAATACTAAACATTAAGATTAAAAATTAACTTTATTGATCCTACCAGAATGTCCCCCCGGGAACAATAAAGTTAATCTTCATTAATTTTGAAATGATTGCAGTTTCAACACAGTCCAAAACATCTTCAGAATCTGCAGACACTCGTTTCCTAGCTGGTCCTTAAGCTCTTGATTCATGGCCAGGGAGAACCCCCAACCCCCCCCCCCCCCCCCCCCCCCCCCACCCCCCACCCCTTTTCCCCCCCCCCCCCCCCCCCCACAGCTGACGTCTGGCACACATTGCTTACCCCACCCCCGGACTTCACATCGGCCCCCGTGTCAGCGCCTCGTTGGCATTCTGGCAGACATGGGCCGTCCGTGGACATGCGAGCTGGTGCAGGATCTGCGGGGGGGGGGGGGGGGGGGGGGGGGGGGGGGAGAGTCAAGGCTGCACACGGTGGAGTTTGGGGAGATATTTAATTTATTTATCTTGTGTACGAGCCGCGAGTTCGGCCGTGAGGGGTTGGGGGGAGACATTAACATGGCGCCTGTCAACACGGACCCAACACTCATGGCCTGAATAGAGAATTCAGGGGGAGGGGGGGGCTCAGTGACATCATCTGTCCCAAGGCATTAAGTATTAGATACTGGAAGCACATCACAGCTAGAATCAAAATGGGGATAAATCAACCAGACCAACACAAGGCTGCTCCCCGTCATCTGGGGTGGCAAGGAGAGCTCAGCCTGCGCCGCATTGGTGCGACTCGGCACCGCAGCTGGCTGGACGGGCCGGGGATGCAGGCCCGAAGCCCGGCGGGCCGCCCTCCTGCTCTCAGTTTGACCGCTTTTACGTGAACGCCATTGCTGACTTGGGCACTTCCCATTGGCCTAGAGTGACCAGACCAGCCACACCATGTCCATCTACACTGCCTTCTCCTGCCGGTGTCCCCAGGACAATCCTCCCCATTAATAATGAGTAATGTAACGTCTGACACCCGGCCGTGACAGTCCTGTCTGGCTGTCTAGGCGCCCTTTCCGTGCCACACACCCGGCCGTGACAGTCCTGTCTGGCTGTCCAGGCGCCCTTTCCGTGCCACACACCCGGCCGTGACAGTCCTGTCTGGCTGTCTAGGCGCCCTTTCCGTGCCACACACCCGGCCGTGACAGTCCTGTCTGGCTGTCTAGGCGCCCTTTCCGTGCCACACACCTGGCCGTAGCTGCAGGCCGGCCTCCATTTGAAGCCAATCCCGCCACGAGCGCCGGGCAGAGCTGGTACGGGCCGGATCCGAGGAGCCCCCCCAGCCTCCACCAGGACGGGCGTTGAGCCTCCTCTCTGTGTGGGACGGGCCCTCAGATTCCCCTGCTTCTTCTATGGGGCAGGATTTCTCCGGTGACTCCCTACCCACTGTAAAGCATCAAACACGGATGAAACATGCGCTAATCCTGCTGTGTGACAAAATGATCGCTACACCTGCTGGGTGACAAATGCGATTGTGATTTTCCCAGAATGCATTAGGTTTATGCATTTTCGCTTCAGGCATCAGCGGCCGGACCGACCTGTAGCAAGGCTGGTGTTGGCTGGCGTCTCGACCTCCTGGATAGCACTGAGCTCGTGCTGCTCGATCATCTCCAGGATGCCCAGTCTGGACCGTGCCAGTGGTGGCTTGGGGGTGTGGAGACAGGGGGCGCTCCTGAGGTCTCTGTGAGTCATGGAGTCTGGGGAGGGGGGGGCGAGTGATACAGCTTAAGGTATGCATCTTAAATTCTAAAAGAGACAGACACAGAAATGGAACATTACCCTAAAATTGGGTAATGAATTTCACTAAGGTCCTTAATCACTACTGCCAGCCAGCAATGAAGGAATTAAATACAGAAAAACCAGCCAACAGGCAAAGCGTGTGACCTTGAGGGGTGGAGGCACAGCTCTCAGCACATGCAGGCTGGGGGGGCCCCCCAGGGAAGCTCACGGCCAACCTCGATACTCTCATGTGATTGGCCTCTGCATCCTAAACGTGCTGAGGTCCACAGCATTTTCTTTTCCCGTAGCTCACAGAAGGTACAGGGATGCAAGAGCTCTCTCACAACTCCATGACACCACAAACATTTTACGAAATAACATCAGACCCCCGAAGAATCACCTTGACGCCACAATTAGCATCAAGTTCTGAAGTGGAGCTAAGAATTAAGAGGCAATCAGAGCGGGACTGAACACTCTTATAGCTATTAGCCCTTTCCGATTCCTAGGCAGGGCTGACACCGGGGAGACCCCAAGAGGCTTACACACCACGCGCTGCCAAGGGGCAAACACGCTTCCGTATTTAGCAGCTGGACGTGTGGCTCGGCCCTTTGCGCTAAATGACCGGCTCATTCTCCAGTTAACCGACTCTGAAGCTAAACCTCCCCAGAAATACTTCTCATCGGGGCAAGATTTGTGTAAGTCTACACTAATGGACGAAGCAAACGTGATGATCGGGGACTGCAGACACCGGGCCTAAAAGCGATAAGGCAGCGTGCCGGGCACAGCGGCAGGGGCCTGGCGGAGGAGGGAAGAGCCGCTGGAAGGGGCACGCCAGGCCATCGAGGGCATGCAAACGGGTACTTATACCAGGAGAAAAGGGGCCGAAATGAACCCCAGTGGCACTGCAGACTAGCAGTACTCACCAGAGACAGACTAAGCCAGCAGCATAACCACAGCTCAGGGGAGGAGAAAGTGAAGGGATACCTGCACATAATGATGGTCTCTCTCAGACGTTACTCACAGACTAAGACGGGGGACGATCAGTGCAAAAGAAATTCAGGTGACAGCGTTACGTGTCACTCAGTGAGGTGACCGGCAGCAGGCTTGCAGGTAATGAAGCTTCCCGTGCTGCATCGTGCATCACCAAACGAGGGGCGGGGCCCCGTTCAGGCCCAGCCGAGGAGCACGCTCCCGCAGAGTCGACTCCCCATCTGTAAGCGCCTCGCCTCCGAGGCTCCGCCGGACCCCAAGGCCGATAACGAAACGGCCGTATCCATGGTAACAGGTCGGTCAAAATCTCGGCGCAGGACTGCAGCCGCAAGGGGCTTCGCAAAAGGCCACAGATGCTCTGCGCATGTGAGCTGACACACACACACACACACACACACACACACACACACACACACACACACACACATAAAGGCCGCACACGTAGAGAAGCATGCACGCACACAGGAACACACACACGCAGACACGCACAAATGCTTTCCTATTCAATCTAATAAACGACCTCCAACAATATTTAAACAAGGAAACAAATCATTCAAATATCACAAGAAGAGCTAAAGATAACATACTAGAGACAGCGCTGTACGAGGGGGCAGGAAGGACGGCACCATCCAGGAGAGTGTGGTGGAAGGTGTCCTTCTGCACAGCTTCCAGCGAGGCAGACATCAGGGTGGAGGAGAGCTGTAATCACACAGACGGAAGCTGAGGGCCGCCATGTCAGCAGGGGGCAGCAGGGGGCGTACTTTCTCTGCTGAAGAGCATTACCTACACCCCCCAAAAGGAGACTATCCTAGACAAACAGAGCGGAGGTGGCAACGCCCCGGACGCCCACGGCTCAGGGCTGACAGTGCTGGGGGGGGGGGGGGGACCAATCAGGCTGATGAAGATGAATGCTGGAGCTCCATCTGCTCTCACCTGTGCGCTGGAGAGCTGGGCTTCATCGTCCTCTTCGTCACGGTCCTCTTGTTGTAGCGCCATCTGCTCTAACAACTGCTGCTGGAGCAGGGCGCCCTCCGGTGCCTCCTGCTGGCCAAGGGCAGCAGCAGGCCGCGGAGCCCCTGCCCACTCCATGATTGTCTGGTCCGTCTGGCCCCGGGGCCCCTGGACGGCCTGGCTCTGCCCAAGCTCCTGTTTATCTGGTGTGGGGGTCTGGTCAGGCACAGACTCTGTCTCTCCCAGCAGCAGTGAGAGCCCCGGGCTCTGTGGGGACGCCACGGCTCTGTGTTCCGGCACTAGCAGGTTGGCTTCCGGACCGCCCCCCGCTGGCAGCCCTGTAAACTGGGTTGGCCACATGGTCCGGGGGGGCTCCCCCTCGATAAGGGAGGGGAGCATGATCTCACATGCGGCAGAAGGTGAATCTCGTGTGGGCAGGCCAGAAAGAGCACCCACAGGGTGATCGCTCGGGGAGGAAGTGCCTGGGACGAGCGGGGGAGCGGAGGGAGGTGAGACGAATGTGGCAGGAGGTGCGGTCAGAGCAGAGAGGGCCCCCCGTGCAGGGAGGGGGAGTTTGGCCTGCGAGCCCATGCTGGGGTACTTCATCTTCAGCAGGCCCTGGTACTCCTCCAGACGTCGGCGGGCCTGGTCTACTGACTGCTGGTGCAGCCTATGGCAGAAAGGAACCGACAGCTTAGCGGGGACCTAAACAGAACAGGCACTGTGGGTCTGTCAGGAGTCAGCCCACCAGGCTATAGCTAAAACACACAGTCTTCCATATGCTTAAAACAGCTAGCATTTTTCAGACAAACTATCAACAACCTACGTATTCCAATCTCCATGAATGCTCAACAACGTTCGTTTAAAAGAAAAAAAAAAAAAAAAAAAAAACTGCTTCTTGGATTTCATGAATGATAGACCTGTCAAAATACAATAGACTAAATATTTATGGAAGTTATTATAAAAGCCCTAGATGAGCCAAATGATCGATGATATGTAACAGCAGGTATGACAAATGCAGAAACAATGCTGAGAAGCGGTGTGGATATACAATCTCTCTTACCGGTTTCGTTCCAGGAGACGCCGCTGATGCTCTCGGATTCTCCTGGAGTGCACATCCTCAGCAGTAACCGGCTGGCTTTCCTGGCCAGCCTGAGACAGCAAACCGTGACCAAGAGTCAATACCGTTACTAATGTGATCCTACATATCAACACTTAGCAGAGATCCCCAAGCACGTCCAAGGGTCGGCCTTGTGCTCTGGGCCTTCATCACGTCGGGATGAAATTCATGCAGACGTAGGTTCTGGTCAAAAGGACATTCGACAGAATGGACACGGCCATTTACTCCTATGCTTTTAGAGGCCCGCACAAAAAGGAATAACGACACTTGTAAAAGCAGAGTGATTCATTCCACATCTCTCATTATTACACCTCTCCAGGTTGGATGAACAGCTGAGCCCAGATGAATAATTCATCGTGTACAAGTTCTGCTCAAGGCTGATTTCTTGACCTGGTGTTAATGCTCACAGCTGTAATCTACCAAATGCCCCCCCCCTTTCAATCATGCCCTCACAACAAAACCAGTGGGAGCATTTCACAAAACTGCCAAACAAAGTTTTTAATGAAGCTTGTCCTTTAGAATTTCTACACAGATTTCTAAACAGACAATTGCTTTCACCTGATTCTTTATGTGCTATTTCTGCACATAAAATATAGTTTTATAGACATATTTTTATATGCATGTGACCCAATCACCCATTCATTCACTGTGAGCACATTCTCCCACCATGTCCACTTGAACACAAGTGAAAATTCAGCTCACACTCCGCTGCTGTGATTCAGTAAAGTCAGCAGGCGACCCGGCTGGGCCGAATTTCCCAGAATCCTCGGCTGACAGGCGCGCCTGCCCCAGTTGGAGCTCCAGGCTGCGCCGCTGCTCCTCCAGCTCCTCCAAAAGCTTCAGCTGCTCCTGTTTTTGCTGCTCCAGCTCAGCCTCCTGGAACAGAGGTAACCCTCTGCTGTCAGAGGGCACTTTTCCACTGCAGCAGTACTGCATGGTACTTATGCATTTCAAAAAAGGACCAAAAGTGCTTTACTTCTTATGTTGATTTTCCACTACTGTGAAAACTGATACTGGCACTGAATGAATCATCACAACACAAGGTGGGGTATTTTGTACTGAATTCAAAAAATGGCTTCAGTATATAATGCTGGGCAATATGCAATATTAATACCAACACTGCACGTTATGCGCATACAATTCTCAAACTGCACAGACCACGATGGATTGAGGTCAAGCCTTGTCATACTGTCCAGACATCACAGTGCCAAGGGGTATTTAAATTTTGCTAAAACATTTTCACTCTGTCATAGGAAACAAAACTTAGCAAACTTTGCAATTCTAACATTTGTTCCTTTTCAAGATTATCTAGTAAATGTTTGTAAAATCTGCTTTAAGTTTACCACCGCTGGTTTTGCATGAGCTCAGCATGCAATCATTATCGTTTTCATCCTTACTGTCTAAATCATTCCTTGATGGTTTTATGAGAATTTTTTTTATTTTGAACTATTTTTTGCTTTAATATCTCAACATTTATTGCAACAGAATCACACTGTGATATTTGAAATTTTTCCAACATTGTGCAGCCGTAGTATATTTTATAGCAAATACTTTTTAAATTTCATTTCATGCCATTCACATCTCATTGAATCTGTTATTCTAACCTGTTCGAAATTAAAGCTTAATTTGTCCACACATCCATTATTATTACTTACTTAATTGTTTAATGTATTGTTGTTTCCGGAGATCGTAGCTACACTTTATCAGGATGGTGGATGTATTTTGTGTTTGCGAAGCAGGTTATTTGCATAACCAATCGACAATATACACGTTTGCAAGTCCTGTCCCGAACTACCGAAAGAGTAGCCAGGCTGGTTTGGTACTCTTTGTTCTGGTATCTGACTGGAAATCAATGCATAAGGGAAAGTACCGAATTTGTGGTATCAGAATTATGGTAACAGGTGCAGTGGAAAACCACCCAGACTGTCCTCTACTTACGAAGCTGCCGTCGGCACAATGAAAACTGCAGGGGAACCTAAACTAACAGCACATTCATACGACTTTTCCACATAGCAGGGCACCTGATGCACATTAAACTGGTACCAATGAGCTAGCAAGCCTTCCCTGCTGATCTCCCCAGGAAGCCATTAAAAGCTAATTCCCAGCTTCTGCCACAAACAGAGCCTGCGGCATGTTGTCTCCCCAGCAGCCTGAACACAGAGCAGGCGCTGCCGTCAAATCGGGAATCATCAGCGCACACAGAAGGCAGCCGTGCATACCCGCTTCCTCTGCTCTGCCTGCACCGCCGCACCCCTGTGATGCCGCGGAGTTTCTGCAACACTGGAGTTCTCTGTCACCTCACGGCCTGAAACTAAAAGGAGAGCTGTATTTAAAAGGAAGGTTCGGTGCATTTTTCTCTGTGTCGTAAACAGCGATGTGAGGAAAAGCAGTCAGCAGCCAAGATCAGGGGCTGACCTTGAGCGGCTGGCTGGGGGTCAGCTTCAGTGATCTGCGTTGGACTTGGGGACCGGGCCTGCTCCCTGTTCTCGCTGCTCAGCGAGCCACTCTCGATAGTGATGCTGTCCCCAGCCGTCACCTCACTCCCGCTCCCACTCCGGCTGCCCTGCCGGGTCCTCTGCGCCCGAATCCTTTCCAGAAGCTTCTTTAGTATGTCTCTAGGGGGCGCTTCAGAAGGCTGAGCTGTGTTTACAAAGCCAAACATCAACACTTACCAAACACAGAGACCTAGTGATTAGAGCTATATCCACTAATTACAACATTAAAGAGGACTAGTAAGTTCAACCTTAAGGTACAGTTACTGAAATAATGCTACAAGGTCTTCATGACCTTCAGGGGAAGGTACTCATACACAGGATTATTTAAGCTCCAAACCTTGTTCTTCAGCAGGCGAAATTGCAGGCCGGCTCTCCTCTCCTTCCGTCGCTTCCTCTACGCTGGGCTCCAGGGTCACGTCCAGATCCTCGTCCCGGCTGTCCAGAGACGTGGCGAGAAGTGGCTCTGGTATGAGATGCAGGACCTGATCACCTTTCACTCCTGCGGGGCCCACAGGAAAGAGGTCAGAGGTCAAGCAGTGAACATCATCAAGTTTGACCTCATCAGGAAGACAAAAGGAGGAAATGAGAACTATTTACGGTCTTAGTCACCTTCAGGATTTTTAACAAGGTGCAGACCCTGCAAGCTTCGAAACTATCAGCTGATAGTGAATTAATTAACAATTAATGAAGGCAAATAGTTGTCATTCTTGACACACCACAGCATACAGTGCACAACAGCAATATGTGTCCTCTGCATTTAACCCATATGTGACATTGTGACATAGCAGGAGGCAGCTAATTCAGCGCCTGGGAGTACTGTTTGGGGCTGGTACCTTGCTGAGGGTACCGTAGTAGTACTTTTCTGGACAGGAATTTGAACCAGCAATCTTTCGATTACAAGCACGCTTCCCTAACCATTAGGCCACCGCTGGCAGCAGGTACTAGATACACCAAGTAAGGTACATAACTTACAGGAAACCATCTAAATCAAACACTTAATGTAATGGTACATGAAGCATCTGGAAATCACTGCAATGGTCAGCCCTCCATGACAAGAAGATAGAGCAAACGCAGCAGCACCTGAAAGGCGAGGCCCTCCAGCCTGCTCACCTCTCTCTCCGGCATACAAGTCCTCAAAGGCAGCCTCCAGGTCCCGCTGCCTCTCCTGCCTTCGGTGGGGTGGCTGAAAGATGTGCAGGGGCATGCGGTCCAGCTGCTGCCTGCGACGGAGCAGCTCCACCTGCTGCAGGCGGTCCAGCTGCTGCAGGAAACGCTCACGGTCCTGCGTGACCATAGCGAGCAGGACAGCAGGGCATATGTAAGGCTAAGCCTGGAGATCACTCTCCACTCTCACACACCCACCCAAACCTGCAGGCAGTGTAAAACACGAGCTCACACACCCACCCAAACCTGCAGGCAGTGTAAAACACGAGCTCACACACCCACCCAAACCTGCAGGCAGTGTAAAACACGAGCTCACACAGCCTGTGTCCATGTAAGAGGCACTCAGTCTAGAGATGCACCAGTCCGATATTCAGATCGATATCGGCACCAATCCAGATCTATTAGACAGATCGGGTATTGGGTATGTGGCAAATCTTACATATTTAGTTTTTGGCAATTCTTATTAAATCGATTCGTACAATCAATCACACGAAAGCTCTTTCCTATTTTAAATGTTTTTTTGCAGAATTCAAGCTGAACACTAACGCTGCCACTCAGTGGGTGTGAGTGCAGAGACGTCTGTATTTTACACTTTTAACAACTAGTAGCACAGTGATTTACAATCTTTGTAAAAACTAAGGTTTGAGAGGTGGAAGTAGCATTTACGGCAAAATCCCACTAAACCAAGAATACGTAATTGTGAAAGACAAGACGAGTAATATGAAAAAGCAGTGGATGATTTGGGAGTCGCTGGCTTGGGCTGTTTTGCACACTCGCTACAGCTTGTGATACAGGAGGGGCTGCGATCGCAGTGAAGTGTAAGTGACGCTGTAGCCAGAGGGAGAGAAATTGTGGGGCGTTTTTAGCATTCGCCCCTTGCGTATCCCCGCTTTTGGAAGACTCCAGTTCAACTGCAAATGCAGCAAAAATGCTTAAAACAAGACGGTCAAACAAGGGGCAGCAGTACGTCATGTACGTTCCTAGTAGCCTAATTTAAGATTTTTTGGCATACATTTGGAATCAGATCAGAACTGAAAAATGTGAACCAGTCCATCCCTAATACAGTCCGCCCACGACAGGCAACCTATGCGACCTGCAGCAACTCACACATACAACCAATTTTTTTTCTATTAAGCAAATGTATGAGCTACAACAGTAATGTACTGTACTGTATGGGGGCACGACCCTCCCAGCCCCACACACACCTAAAAGTGCAGTTATCTTATTCTGACATATGTCTATTTCGATGTACGACCTGTCTGTTAGAACTGAACTCAGTCATTATTTGGGGATTTTTGCTAAAGGTGCCTACATCTCAGACTGCAGAGATAAAGGTAATTTATGTGAAGGTCTATTGTGTGTGTGTGTGTGTGTGTGTGTGTGTGTGTGGGGCAGGGGTTACCTGTGCGAGATGCTCCTTCCTCAAAGCATGCTGCCCCCTAAGATGAGCCTTCTCCTGCCTTTCCCTCCGCTCCCGCTCCTCCTCCTCATCCAGTTCTGCTAGGCGCTGCCCCTCCTCCGCCGCCGCTAGCCGGGCATCACGCTGTCCGCAACATGCAAGGTGAAAAATCACAAGATGAACAAATGGTGTGTTCACTTTATTCATGAGCAGTGAGAGCACGCTTTGCAGTTCCATCAGTCTGCAAACAGCTGCTGGCTTCCTGAACTTTTCACTCCTGCGTCTCCTACCCTCCCATTTTTAAACAAGCCTGCAGTTCCTTTCCCAAAATGACAGGAGCGCCTCAAAATCCAGTGAACTCAAGGTCATTGTAGCAATGCGCAGCTTCTGCAGAACAAACCTCACTAACCCGCTGGCTTCACTACTTGTGTTACTTTAGTAAACAGATCCAACTAATGCAGTCCCAAAAAATCCACCCTAGTCACACTTCATTAACCTCAGAAAAATCCAAACCGTGCATCAAAATAAAACAGAAACGTCATCTTGCTTTCCTACCTGATCAGTGCTCACTTCACAATCCACAGCCGCGTCAGGTAGATGGTAATGCGTGACAGAGTATCTAGCTGCACTGGGCACTTTCGCCACAGGGGGGCGCTTCAAATCCATACTCTGGGGGAAGAAGGAAAGCTAAGCCATCAAGCGCAATTCACATATGGTGAAGAGAAGACACTGGGAGGCTCATTCCTCTGGGCGTTTGGGGCTACCAACACAAACTTGCCTGAATGGGCTCTGGTGGCGGGGGCGGTAGGCTGGTCACCTTGGCTGCCCTCTCCTTCTCTGTCAGCATGGCCCTCCTCCGGGCCTCGGCGCGCCTGCAAAAACGGCAGGGTCAACGAAGCCACGTCAGGTCCTGCCATGGCAGCTCGCGGCCTGCTCCTTACCGGCACTGCTCCTCCTGCTGTCGCTCCCTCTGCCACCTGAGCTCCGTCAGCGCTGCCCTGTGCCGCCGCTCTGCCCGCTCCTGATTCTCCCCTGCCTGCCGCACCAGTGCCTCCCAGTCTGGTTCCTGCAGCCGGGCGATAAGCAGCCATTCTTACACGCCTTCTACACCAACGTGAGTGGGAATGGAGGGGCAGTGATGGCACCAGCTCACATTTTCCTTGGCACTCTTGTAGCTTTCTCCTACAGCCCCCAGGCTCTCCTCGTACAGCTCCTGCAGGGCTTGAACCCTTTTCTCCTGCTGCCCCACCCACTCCCCCCTCAGCTCCTCAGCCAGCCTCTGGAGCTCACAGTCTCTGCGCTGCCGCACCTCCTTGCGGATCTGCAATGCGATGCAGCGCTCCTGCTCCCGCACCTGCATTGAATGCACTTAGTGTCAGGATGGAAAGCAGGTTTGTGCACCATTCATGCACATAGAGAGACAGTGGTCCAATGGTGATTCATAACAGGCCCTTTTAAATTGTCCTCTCACCTGCTGCAGCCTAAGCCTCCTTCTCCTCTCCTGCTCCTCTCTGATCAGCCGTGCCTCCTCGTTCGGGCTCAGCCTCAACCGGCCCACTTTAGCCACCTTCCTCCTCATGTTCGCCCGCTCGTCTAAGGCGCTGGCGGAGCCCTGACTGGCGTCCCAGCCTTCAGCCAACATGGGTTCAGGCAGGTAATCACACGCTTGTCACGAAATTAGGGGTCATGTTAAGATAATTAGCGCGCAGGTTTCCGTTTTCGGTTAAGCCAGCTAATGGCTAACGTGGCTAACACCAAAACAACAATCAGTAAACTAACTTGACACCCAGTTGGCCACCTAACTCTGAAGAAAAATGTCGAAATAAAATCCCGTTAAGATATGTTAAAAAGAAGGATCATGTCTTAAGAAGGAAAAAAGTCACACTACGTAAATAAAAACAAGAATACATTCAGAAACACTGAAATTATCCACTAGCAGCTAGTGCGTCTCCATGGTTTTGCTTCTGCTGCAAACGTCCATTCACGAGTCACGTGACGTCACTACCGTTATTCAAACAACCCGCTTGGTCACGAGGGGCGGTAGCAGAAGCGTCTCCGAGTGTGGATTGTAATTGATGATACGTAAATAATTCTGAAGCGATGTGTGCAACGTTAAGATGTATTATAACGTATGTACCGGACAACTCGACTGTCATTAGATTAAATATACTTTGCACAGAGAGCATAAAGTGATGATGTCGTTTACAAAATCCAGCCTCTGCAGGTAACATTAATACTATGGGCAGCACAGGTTCCTGCCAGTAATCCTTTAGCGACCTAAACTAAACGCTGAAGAAACGTAATACAAGCCATTTCCGAAGCTACTCCGTAGCCCCCTCCCTCACGCCACTTCTCAGGGGAAGTCTCGCGACACTTTGAAACATACGGCTAGACGTCACTTCCTGTCAGACTATGGGTCTCCAACAGTCTATAGATTAGGTGGGCTTTTCTTTTTTAATCAGTAAGGTATGTATTTAGTATATATTCAAACGCAGATGTATGTAGTGTGTTTGCACATCTGTCTTTATATTCGGTATTTTACTATCGGGAGCGAATGGTTTGTTTGTTTTAGCGTTTTTGCTAGGTGAACCACACGGCTTTTTCGCCAATTAGATGGGCTTGTATGTACTTTGTTTATTAATTAAGTGCCTGTAATTTTAATCCAGTGGAAGTCCGCTACCGCTGAACAAACTTTAGTAACTTTAAGAAAATGTATATCAACTTTTAATGGTGGGATAGGGTTAAGTTGTATAACTATAACGGTGCTTGCTGGACGTGTTTCGTTTGGTGTCTCGTGAGTGTTTAAATAGTACAGTATGTGATGCTACGCCATGCCGTCTTAACTAAGGCTAAATAAAGTACCGTTGTCATTGTCCATTTTAGTTTGTGTAGTAAAGAAAATTGTGTTTTCGTGCAGTTCGAGCCCCGTGTCCCAGCATCATGTCGGGTGGTCCAGCAGTACGTGTAAGCATCGAGTCCTCCTGCGAGAAGCAGGTCCAGGAGGTCTCCTTGGACGGCTTGGAGACGTACGTCCCACCCCTGTCCATGTCTCAAAACCTAGCCAAGCTCGCCCAGCGCATTGACTTCAGCCAGGGATCCGACTCGGAGGAGGAGGGGACTGAAGGCGAGCACCGGGAGCATGAGTGGGTGAAGCAGGAGCCTGAGGAGGACGATGGTGAGGCCCCGTAGCCGTGCTCACAGGCAGATATCATCATCATCATCATCATCATCCTCATCCTCACATCATGTACATGCCCTTAGTGTCCTGTCAGTGATTACGCGCCATTCGTACACATTGAGACGTGTGTGCTAACAGCAGAGCCGAAGATAGAAGTCAGCATGACATCTGCGTGTCTTTTTAGCCACAGTGAAGTTCCAGCCTTCACTGTGGCCCTGGGACTCTGTGCGGAACAACCTGCGGAGCGCGCTGACCGAGATGTGCGTGCTCTACGATGTCCTGAACGTCGTCAAGCAGAAGAAGTACATGACCCTGGATCCGGTCTCCCAGGACCCAATGGCTGGGAAGGTAACTGCCGGAGTACAACTTGCCCCTTTGTCTGTTTCTTTGTGGTGCATGGATGTTGCAATGTGTACTTGTTGAATATAGCATCTGCTTTCATATGCAATATTCGGTGACCTTTTATTATGAATCTGTGATGTGGATTTTATGTAATTGTAGTTTTCTTGACAATGACAATGCGAGAAATTTAGCCCAGATAATTTAAGCCTCTTGGTTTTTAAATTATTTTTTATTATTGGCTCAAGTGTTTCCATGAATTTGATACACTTCACCACAAGGACAGTTTAATCAGGTAGTCATTTTCCTGACTTGTTGTGCCACTTGAAAATAGTCTCTGTTTACTGTGACTGTTTATTATGAATGTGTTGGTTTTATATAAGAAGTTTCCTTGACAGCCCCCTGGCAAGAGATTTATTTCACTAAATTTCAGATTTGTATGATTTTTTTTGTTGTTATTGGTTCAGCTGGTTCTCCAGCGACTCCATGTATTTGATGTGCTTCCCCATAAGGACAGATAGTCAGTTTTCTGACTGTTGTTGAGCTGAATCTTTATGGTCTGGTGATGGCATAGAATATGCCACCAGTCTAACAGCAGGTCTTTATTCCACAAGGTGGCATAACCAGGATCACACACTGGCTTTGAAGGATCAGCACAGCTGATAATAGACGAGGCTCGAGCTGATGATGTAACCATATCCCACCTCTGTAGGCCCCTCAGGTGCTGCAGCTGATTAGCAAGAAGAAAGCTCTGGCCACTGCGGCACAGTTACTGCAGAAAGGGGCAGAGAAGCTCAGCAAGTCTGTGGCAGAGAACCAGGAGAACCGGCGCCAGAGGGACTTCAACTCAGAGCTCCTCCGTTTGCGCTCCCAGTGGAAGCTCCGGAAGGTGGGAGACAAGATCCTGGGGGACCTGAGCTACCGCAGCGCAGGTATGTCACTGGCACTCACCGGGCGCGTGTATGGTGACAGGTATGTCACCGGCACTCACAGGGCGCGCGTACGGTGACATGTATGTCACCGGCACTCACCGGGCGCGCGTATGGTGACAGGTATGTCACCGGCACTCACCGGGCGCGCGTATGGTGACAGGTATGTCACCGGCACTCACCGGGCGCGCGTATGGTGACATGTATGTCACCGGCACTCACAGGGCGCGCGTACGGTGACATGTATGTCACCGGCACTCACCGGGCGCGCGTACGGTGACATGTATGTCACCGGCACTCACCGGGCACGCGTACGGTGGCAGGTATGTCACCGGCACTCACCGGGCACGCGTATGGTGGCAGGTATGTCACCGGCACTCACCGGGCACGTGTATGGTGGCAGGTATGTCACCGGCACTCACCGGGCGCACGTATGGCTGTCATGATATCACACTACATGCTTATGGCAGCCAAAAGAATTTATAACAACAATATAATTGCAATATGCAAGCTTCAGATGACAGGTGTGTCAGCGATTTTACACCCAGCAGAATCTGTCCAAATGCCGGTGTTTCAGTACTATACTGTTGTTTACTTAAACGTACAATTTAATAAGTAGATTAATCATGCGCCTAAAATATTAATGAGAAGCATATTATGACGCCCAACAGCTGGTAATCGGTATAAATTCTGCTTATTAAATAACAAAATACCGAAAAGCCAGCATTTGAATAGATTTTCCTGGAAGTAAATGCGCTGATATACTTATGTAATGCCCTGTATATAGCGAGTATATCGTTATCGTGAATTCCTGCAACACTGCTGTAATAGTGACGGTGCAGTGAGGTTTGAGAGTAAATGTGTCTTTTTCAGTGAAAGAACAAAGGTAACACAAGCTATCTGTAGAGTTTGTCCTCCTTTTGTGTTTAATATCAGGGCTGTTCGCTGCTTTCAGTTTTTGGTAAAATTTGGACATTTGTGATGGGAACAATGAGAACTCTAAATATGAGTAAAAATTCGTATTGTTTTGGGGAAACACAACTGAGGCTTAGTCCTGATTGTGATTTGTTTTCCAGGGTCTTTGTTCCCTCATCACGGTACATTTGAAGTAATCAAAAACACAGACATTGACCTGGATAAGAAGATCCCTGAGGATTACTGTCCTCTGAATGTGCAGATTCCCAGTGATCTGGAGGGATCTGCCTACATTAAGGTAAAGGGTATTTACTAAGGAAGTCTTTGAACGGCTGTGAGAGAACAACTCTTTAGGTAATTGTAACGTCAAAATGAAAAAAGAAGCATCAAAGCATTTGATTTGTAAAGCTTTCTTTAGAATATCCTTCATCAATAGGTATAATTTGGGTAGGTGTTTACCTTTTCCCAATTCTGCCCCTAAGGTTTCGATTCAGAAACAGGCCCCTGACATTGGTGACCTTGGTACCGTGAATCTCTTCAGACGGCAGCCGAAACCAAAAGCAGGTGTGGTTCATCACTGTGTCCGTTTTGGGATTCTAACTCCAGTATGTGTGAAACGAGGAAGTTCATGAATGGCATTTGGCAGTGTGAGCTCTCTGAGCCAGCAGTGACTCACCTTTCAGGAACCCAGCCCTGGCACGTGAAGCTTGAGGCAGCGCAGAATGTCCTGCTCTGTAAGGAGATTTTCGCCCAGCTGTCCCGGGAAGCTGTTCAGATCAAGTCACAGATTCCACACATTGTGGTGAAGAATCAGATCATTTCTCAGCCTTTTCCAGGTAGGAAGTGCAGCCCAGCATTTCATCATATGTTTGTTGCGAATCTGGACAGGGTTGTTGGACTGAATGCTGCCCCTTTGTGTCCTGAAGGCCTGCAGCTCTCAGTTTCACTGTGCCACTTCACGGGGGACAAGAGGAACTCAAAGGCCTCTCCTGAGAGGCAAAAGGCAGACGATCACCTCTATGTTCTAGAACACAACTTGCACCAGCTCATGAGAGAGGTAGCCCTACCTCTTGCTGGATGGGTATAATGGGATGTTTATTTTTGGTCATATCTTGTGCTGATGGATCTGTTTGTGTCTTGGGTACAAGATTTACTACATTTTGTGTTACACTAAGGCCATCTGTACCCACCAGCTCATAAACACGGTCTCGTTTTCCAATAGTTCCACAAGCAGACCCTGAGCTCCGTGGTAATGCCACACCCAGCCAGTGCCCCCTTTGGGCACAAGCGCCTGCGGCTAGCGGGGCCCATGGCCTACGACAAGGCCGAGATAGCCTCTTTGCAGCAGGGCGAGGGTCTCCTGGAGAAGATCATCAAGCAGGCCAAGCACATCTTCCTCCGAAGCAGGTCAGCCTGTAAACTCACAAGATCTTCCTCCACACTATGTAGAATTTACTGCAAGTTGTGCTTATCGGTGGAGAATCAAACTTGGAGTGTTTTCAGGACTGAAGGCTTGGCCCACAAGATCCGGAGTTCATGTTGTTTTACTTGAGAGGAAAAATGCTTCAGAAGTGTCTTGTTTCACTTGCGATCCACATTCACTGGAAAGTTACTCTTGGCTATTAGCCATAAAAAGGGTGGCCCTGTTGATCCGTCTCCCGTATCATGACAGAACCGCACGCACCATCGACAACCTGGCCAGCCGCATAGAGGACCCTCAGATACAGGCCCACTGGTCCAACATCAACGACGTCTACGAGTCCAGCGTCAAGGTGCTCATTACCTCACAGGGGTATGAGCAGATCTGCAAGTAAGTGACCCTCGGAAGACGGCTTGCACGGTATCGTTCGTTATAAAAATATCAGCCTATTGATGACTGGGAATGGCACCCTTACAGTTACATTCCCAGTATACACACCCCTGAGGGGTATCGATTTTGTTTTCATGCCAAAACAAGCCTGTAACAGGCTTCTCCCAACCTTCTGCTTCAGGACACTGCTGATTTTTATCGATCAATTACGTTCTTTACTGCTCCATCGGATTCAGGTGCAGCTGTAGTACATCAGCAAAATGTATTTTATCACCACTCTGTAACAGCTTCGTCCCACAAAATGTAACTCTCTAAGTGAGCAGCATCTACTCCTCACATCACCAACCTTTGGACTCCTTCAGGTCTATTCAGCTGCAGCTGAACATTGGGGTGGAGCAGATCCGGGTTGTCCATCGGGATGGCCGGGTCATCACACTGTCCCATCAAGAACAGGAGCTGCAGGACTTCCTTCTGTCTCAGGTGAGGGGCAGAATTCACACATCCTTCAGATCCGGATCTTCCGGACAGAGGGCAGTGTTGTGCACATGGTGCCGTAAGCATGGGTCTGCCGTTTTGGTTCTATACGTTTTCGGAATGTAAAGGGCCTTAAGATGGGTATGGTCAAAGTAAGAGCCCCTCAGATCCCATGGTGTCCTGATGGGTCGTCATGTGTGTGGTAGATGTCCCAGCACCAGGTCCACGCTGTGCAGCAGCTGGCCAAGGTGATGGGCTGGCATGTGCTCAGCTTCAGCAACCACGTGGGCCTGGGTCCCATCGAGAGCATCGGCAACGCGTCCGCCATCACCGTGGCCTCCTCCAACGGGGAGTACGCCATCTCAGGTGCCGCCTCGCCCACCGCCTCCGGCCCGCCGTGTCCTTAAGCTGTCCAATCAGCTGCCTTATTAAACCCCTCCCTGTCACCTCAGTGCGCAATGGACCGGAGAGCGGCTGTAAGGTTCTGGTCCAGTTCCCTCGGAATCAGTGCAAGGAGCTGCCAAAGGGTGACGTGATCCAGGATGCCAAGTGGAACCACCTGCGCGGCCCCTTCAAGGAGGTGAATTGGAGCAAGATGGAGGGACGCAATTTTGTCTACAAGATGGAGCTCCTAATGGCCGCACTCACGCCCTGCCCGTAGCCATGCGGTGGTTGTCTTGGCAATGGTTGTCATGGCAACAGAAGACCGCCACCCGCCCAGCTGGCCAGCATGCGGAAACCCCCCAGACCTGTTAGGCCGGAGCGTGGTTCCGCATTCCAGCTGAGCCCGACCGGAGTGTGGTCTTACCGTGTTCTTGCTGACATCACCATGGCAACAGTGTGTGTCACTCACATGGTTCTGCGTTACACTTTTGAAACCAGCTGCAAGGACTTTCAGGACTGGTTTAATGCAGTAATTAGTTTGCTTGTCTCTCACCCACTGGATTACTTTATGGTGACCAGCTAATTGGTTGTGATGGTTTGTGTGTGTGTGTGCGTGTGTGAGAGGGGGTGTGTGTGTGTGTGAGAGAAAGGGGAGGGGGGGGAGTTTTTATGTAGGGCATGAAATGTCACAGCTGTTACCATTTCATTAAAACCATTAATCATGTTACGAGATTCTAAAATTCCTTCATTCCGCAGTTTATGTTCAATATGAAAACCCCGTGTTTAAGTTTAAAAATAAATGTTTTTTGTAGTGAGGCTTTTTTTGTTGTGAAAACTGCTGTCAAAAACCAAAAATCTCCACTCCTCAACCGAAAGGCCCATCTAGTGGTAATACGCAGAAGTGTCTCCAAAAAAATAATTTTATTTTAATTCTCAAAGTACACTGAACTGATACATCCTAATGCAGATGTGACATGCTTAATGGAAATATTTAAAAAATATATTAAATACACAAAACCCACAGAAGACATCCTGCAAAAGTTGGACGTATCCATGAAGATCTGTTGCCTGGACGTTAATTGCTTATGTGCATAAATTATGCATCAGGCTCCACAGGAAGTTCATGTTTTTTTGTATCCTAGAAGTCTTTCGTTAAATCCAACAGAAGAGTTCCTGCAAGAGGCTGAAACATCTCGGCCTTCTTCCAGTGCTCTCCTCATATTATTGTCCCCACAATGTGTGACCTTGTCGCCCTTCCTTGTCTCAGAGAGCCTGTAGCTCTGTCTCGTCATGTTCTGAAAATAAACAGCACAGTTACGGATCTTAATTGATTTTAAAAAAAATCAATGTACCTGTAACACACTCCTGGGCATTACTCTGTACCTAAAAGCATCCCTCTAATGGGCGTCATAATGGCAGCAGTAATTATGATACAATGTGATACATTTATTGTGAACGGCTGGAACTGCACCATACAAAGTAAGTGCAGAGTGGAAGTGTGACAGGGCAAAGCGAGTAGCTGATGGGTGTCACCTGGTAGATGCCTCCGGTGGCACCACTCTTTAATCCGCACGGAGACCTTGTTTAGAAACCACATCAAAACCACAAGGAAGCCAGCCGCCGACCCCAGGATGGCGATGAAGACCGCCAGGTACTGCACGTCCTCAAAGAGCACCTCTGCCGTCAGAAATCAGGAGGCTTAGAAACGTAGCATACTGTAGCATACTGCTGATACTGAGATATGATCAACGTTTAACCACTTATGATATGAATGTCTGTGGGGTTTTGGATTTAAGTAGTTTGTGCATGTGTTCCCTCTGGTGGGCTGCCATCCCATCCAGGGTGACCCCAGCCTTATGCCCTGTGCTGCCTGGGATAGGATCCAGGCCCTGACCACCCCAGCCAGGACCAGTACCCAACCAGATGATGGATGATTAGATGAATGAGAATCAACTGAATTCACCTCTATTTTATGTTATGTTGTGTTATTTTGTGGGGATGAACAAAAATAGAAAACTGTCAATTTTTTAAGTACAGACATAAATATTACTGCACAAAAGGTAAAAAATAAAGAAATATATGGCATGTGACAATATTGTATTGGGTACCATTCATTCACCAATCAGTTGAGTGAACAATGTATCTGTGCACACTTGCTACATTGTGTATGGGAATTCAGCTTCTACATACTGGGGG